ATTATGTGAAATTTAACCAAGATATACGTATTATCCATGAGTTTTATGATGATTCTTTTTATTGCAACAATAAATATATTATGATTATATATATATTTTTTTTCTGGACAACTGTCGTACATATTTTGTGATACGAATATAATTCTTATATGCATATTTTCGTTTTACTCTTATAAGCATATCCATGTTGATTAGTCTTTTATTTGATAAGGGATGTACATACGTTCATTACCCCGAATAAAAAGAAATGACCAATAAAACCAAAGAAAAATGGGAAATGCACTTAAAAATATATCAAAGTGACTGAGTGAGTGAGAGACTGAAGAAAACAGATAACCAGTGGTACATGGACACTGATATCTAATTCAACGAACACATAAAGAAAACAAATAAGAAATGATAAGGAGGGTATATTCAGTAGTATATTTTACACAAATAAGTACTGTACGTCTACCGTAAATGTTTAGCAGTCTGCTCTCTCTCTCTCTGAGTATGTCTGTTTGCGTATGTACAAGTGTGTATGTGTTTAATATGTCAACACATACACGCACACACACTCAGGTACATTCATATACAAATATGTAGATATATACACATCTATTTCTCTCTCTTTTTCTCTACATGCACACACACATATCTATCTATCCATCTATATTCATTCAACGGCTCCCAGGAAGCAAAAAAAAAATAATTGTTAATTATTACGCATATCCTATTATCAGGAAAAAAAAAAAGGAAGCAATGTTCAGTTTCCTTTTTTTCAGATTTTCACAAATATAAGAAAAAAGTGAAGAATCTGACCTTGGCATCCTATAGCACGTAATATTCTAAGACACTTTTCTCTTTCGGAATTTCTTTCATCAACTGATAAGGATAGTAGAGAGGCTGTAAAACTCAACATTTCCAGCCGCCCCTCGGTAAGTGCTCCTCCGACACCGCGAAGTCGACAAAGAGACGAACCAATCAGACGGAATTATGGCGGATGACGTAAGCGAGGGAAATCAAATGAGCCAATGGGAAGTGTCCTTGGCTCTGGCGACAGACGCGAGCGACCGGTCTACCAACGGTAATAAGAACGATAACGGATAATCACGTGATACAGTAGAAGCTGGACCCAAGGGATGTCGGTTACAATGCACATCAGCTCCATCATGGCTAAGCTGTGGTGAAGGTGCTGGGTCAACGGTTTCGCATCTAATGTGCATGATATTTTGGCAATAAAAAGACAACGAGGATCCTGACAACTCGCAGGCAGGTCATTCTGGATTTATCAGTTAAGGTAAGAAATTCTTTGTAGGAAATTCAAATGTTTGTTCAGGCTTATCCTCCCAGTATGCACGAGGTGAAGAGTGCAGGTGGGTAGGGGGGGGGGGGCTGCAGCTTCTCTCTTGAAAGGGGATTATGAATTTACATCGCAATGACTAAATTGCTGAAAATTTTACTTCGATCATTGCTTTCATCGTCCAATTCCCCTCATACTTACCATTCCCTCCCCAGCCATCGGGACCTGTCCTTCGTTTGCAGCGGGAATGAGTGCTAGATGAGTTCGAAGCACCAAAAGAGCTTTCAGAGAGAGAGAGAGAGAGCGAGCGAGAGAGAGAGAGAGAGAGAAGAGAGAGAGAGAGAGAGAGAGAGAGAGATTATTTCTTCTACCCTGAAAGCGGTCTGAGGCATCCTTTCCAAACGCGCCATGTTTGGTGACGTCTTCCCTCTTCTAACTCCGGCCCTGAATCCGCCGTTGGGTCGCCTTTCGCCAAACTGTCCTCTCGAACGCTCCATTTTCTTCCATACCAAGGGCACGCGAGGGTTACTTGATTTTTCTTTTTATTTTCTTGAGTCTTCCTTCCCTCCTTTCCCCCGTGCATTATGGAGACTAGCAAGAACATACATTATCGTCATCATCATTATCATCATCATCATCGTCACCATTATCATTATCATCATTATCATCATCATTATCATCATCATCATCATCATCATCATCATCATCATCATCATCATCAATCAACATCATCAATCATCATCAATCAACATCATCAACATCATCATCATCATCATCATCATCATTCATCATCATTATCATTATTACTATATATTCTTTTCAAATAAGCATCCACAGATCGTTTTTCCCTCATTCATCTAAAAAAAATGATTGAAATAAAACACGCATAAATTGAAATACAAATATATGTATCAAATGTAACAATAACTCTAGAAATAAAACTTTTGCAAAAAATGCTTCAATAACGAGTGCTGGAGAGAACACAGAACAGGGTGCCAGCAAATCATTTTATTTCCAGACTAATCGTGGCAAATTATTTTATTTCTCCTTGGAAGTTTCTGTGCTTTACTGTTATTAGTAATAGTAGTGGCATATTATTTATTATTATCATTATTATTGTTGTTTTTTTCTTCTTATTGTTAATGTTGTTATTGTTTATTTATTAGTACTATTATTGTAGTTTTATTATCATTATTATTATTTTCATATCGTTATTATTACATTATAATTATTGTTGTTATTACTATTGTCTATTATTATTATTATTATTACTATTATCATCTTTAGTATTATCATCATCATTATTGTTATTATTATTATTACAACTATATCATCATCATCATCATTATTTTATTATTATTATTATTATTATTATTAGCATGTTACTATTATTATCATCATCGTCATTATTATTATTATCATCATTATTATCATCATTAGCATTGTTACAATTATTATCATCATCGTCATTATATCATTATTATTACTATTATCATTACTATCATCAGTGTTGGTATATCATTATTATATTATTATTATTATTATTATTATTATTATTATTATTATTATTATTATTATTATCATTATTATTATTATTATATTTGTATTCTTATTATCATTATCATTGTTATTACCATTATCATTATCATTATTATTATTATTACTAATTATTGTTATTATCATTATCATAATTAGTATCGTTATTATTATATTATTTATTATTACTATTATCAATATCATTACCACTATCATCATTATTATTATATAATTTTATTATCTTTAATATACTCAATTAACGATTGGTTTAAAACACCGACTTTTTACTTATGTACGTGTAAATATGTGTACACACGTGTATATATGTATATATGTGTGTGTGTGTGTGTGTGTGTGTAGTGCAGATTTTGTCGTTTGCATCCCATGTCTGTTGATGCTGTCTCTCTCTCTCTCTCTCTCTCTCTCTCTCTCTCTCTCTCTCTCTCTCTCTCTCTCTCTCTCTCTCTCTCTCTCTCTCTCTCTCTCTCTCTCTCTCTCTCTCTCTCTCTCTCTCTCTCTCTCTCTCTCTCTCTCTCTCTCTCTCTCTCTCTCTCTCTCTCTCTCTCTCCCGTTGGACTGAGGTTTATATAAAACACACAGGTGCATGAAAACACAAGAGTATTAACTTAACTATTGACTATTTAGTGATCATTCAAATTTATTTACTTCTGCTGTTACCAAATTTTACAGTACATTTATAAAGCAAACGGATAATAATAGAAAAGAATTAGTGATACGTTTAATAGAGTTTATATTATTTAGGACATCTTAATTTATTCTGTTAAATTTCCAGAGTAAAATATGCTGATTATGTATAGAAACATATAGATGATTAAGCAGTATGACTATTCCAGTTTCACATTTTGATAATGTTTTCCAAATCTGGTCCCCGTTATCACCAATAGAAGCAGCAGCAGTAGTATTAAGAACAAATGTAGAGTTTAAGGAAAGTTAGGTTTTGGAAGGTTAGTTTGAATTAAGGCAGGTTAGGGTAAAATACAACGTTAGTGATTCAGCAACACACTCGTTAACAATCTCATGCTAAATTCCCCATGTAACACCGCGACCAAAATATGTGCAAATGCTCTTCTCTCGACAGTACATAATGGAGTTTGATCTTGTGCCTTTGCAGTGCATGTGACGATTCTCTGATGGCCTCTAGAAGTATGGATTCAGCATTCACGATAGGGGATAAGAGCGAATAACAACGATGTAAGTGAAAGAGATAGAGGATGTGAAGGGGAGAGAAAAAGATAGAGATAGATAGAGAGAGAGAGACAGGGAGAGAGAGAGATAGCCTGGGGAAGAAGGGAGAGGGAGGGAGAGGGAGGGAGGGAGACAGAGAGAGATCCAAAGAGAGAAAAAGGACCAAAAAAAAAGATCGAAAAGACTCAAGGAAGAAACAACAAGTCCATGAAATCAAACATCCAATTCCAAAACGCTATCCGAACTCGATGACCGCCCGAGAACCAGTCCACACAATACCATTCCCGGTCATTCCGAATCAAGGGTTGCAATGCCGCGGTGAAGTGTTCTCGTTGATCCAGTCGTAGAAGTAGCAGATATCGGTTGCTGGTATAACGAAGCCCCCGACAGGACACACCGTCTGCGTGATGGCTGTTACCATTCCGACGGCGTAGATGCGGCCGTCGGAGTAGGTCTCGTAGTAGGCGGAGCCTGTGTCTCCCTAAGGCGGAAGAGACCGGAGGTAAAAGCTTTGTATACATACATACATATATATTATATATATATATATATATATATATATATATATATATATATATATATATATATATATATAATATATATGTATATGCATATATATTCATAAGTATTTAAATAGATAAATAAATATATACATATATATTATATATATATATATATATATATATATATATATATATATATATATATATATTCATATATCATATATATATATATATATATATATATATATATATATAATTATATATATATATATATATATATTTCATCAATTATTATCTTCATTATTGTTTACTGTTCTTTATCATGATTATGGCTAATGTTATGTTTTTTGTTTTATTTGCTTATCATTATCAGTGTTGTTACTTGTTACTATCATTATCATTGTTGCTATCATTATCAGTTTCATCATTTTTAATTGCTAGTGATTGCTATTAACCATTATCATCATAACTATTGTTGTTGTCATTATCTTTACTATTAGTATCAATACCATAAATGTCACTACCATTAATATTTTTGTTTTTATTATTAGTTGCCATTATGATTATCATTATTATTATAGTTAGCATTACTATTAATTGTTCTTAATCAACTTGACTGTCACCAGAATTATGCAAAATGCAACAGGTGTATTATAATTGCAGTTTGTAAGGAATTAAATATATCCCTTGGACCAACTGATTATTTGGTGTTGAACTAGATCCGGTGTACAGATATAGGATTCAGTTAAGTGTCTGAAAATTCAAGGCAACTTATATGAACATTTAAAGTGTGGTAGACTTCTCTGTTCCTCTACAGACTGTGGCAGAGATGTGGTTTGAAAATGGATTATTGTATTTAATTAGCTTATAGGATTTCGCCTTATTTGGCATTTAGGATTTAGCCCTATTTAGCGTTAGGATAAAACACTATTTAGCATCGTTTAGCATTAAAGATTTAGCATTATTTAGCAGTTAGGATTTCGCATTATTTAGCATCATTTAACATTTGAAGTTAAGTGCTATTTAGCTTTCACACTGTAGTATTCTTAAATGTTTAAGATTTAGCATTACTATTCATTCAGAATGTATCATTTGACTACTATTCAACATTTAGGATTTAGCATTATCTTACATTTAGGATTAACATTGCTTAGTATTCAAGCCGCCACATTGTTCTGCAATTTGCCTTTAACATCATTTAATGCTCAGGATTTAGCGTCATTCAGCATTTAGCATTCTAAATCAGTTAGCATTTCAAATCTAACATTAAACAGTATTCAGACAATAAGTATTCTCTACCAACTAGGATTCAGAAGGATTTAGCATTCAGAGCATAAACTCCGGTATTTTAGAATTTATGTTTTAGCATGAATGAGCATTTAATATAGTATTACCCTGAAGCATTTCGTATTCCTTAGCATATAATCCAAAGAGACTTACGTAGCAGGGAGTATCCGGGGCGGCCAGGGTGAAGAGGCAGAAGAAATAGTCAGCCAAGAGAAAGTTGCAAAAATTGATGCTAATGGTTGACATGTTCGTCGCTGGATAGCCTGGAAAGCAAAGCATCAATGGCGGATATACAATGTGTATTTATGGGTGTATATATATATATATATATTATATATATATATATATATATATATATATATATATATATATATTTGTATACATATACACATATATACACTAACGTATATATATGTATATAAATGCATATATACATATATATGTATATGTATGATATATATATATATATATATATATATATATATATATATATATATATATATATATATATATATATTCATATGTATGTATGTATGTGTATATATTTAAACACATATATATTTATGTTTCTGTGTCTGTCTGTATGCATAAGTAAGCGTGCCTATATCTAGAGGACGCACCGTAAGTCGTCCAGCCGAAACCCGACAGTTTGACCGCAGAATACGTAGTCTTGATGTAGTCCATGACCGTGCTGTTCCCCAGACAGATCGGGAGGACTCGGGAGTTGAGTGTGAATCCGTCGCCAGGCAGAGTAAGGATCGCGATGTTGTAATCGAGCTGTTGGGAAAAATAAACGAGGCACATTGTTGTTGTTTTTCTTTTTTTCTGACAATGATATATATGTGTATGTATATGTTTATATATAGTGAGTATAAGTACAGACACTTTCCATAAGCGTAAACATACTCTCGCGAACACAAACATATTTCTATTATGAATGAGAACGAATTTCATCACAATACAAGATGTGTATTTTACCGGTTTCGATTATATCTTCGTCAGAAATACATGTATTTCTGACGAAGATATAATCGAAACCGGTAAAATATATCTCTTGTACTGTGAAGATATTCGTTCTCATTCATACCTTTCCATATTTGCCAACATGAATATGGTTCATATTTCTATTAGTATAAACGCACTTCAATAAGCATATATACACTCACTCAGGAACAAACAGACGAACACATGCTCAAAAATACAAACACATTTCCAACACAAGCACTCTCCATTAAACACAAATACTCTCGCAAACACAAACGCACTCTCACAGGCACATGCATAAACACTCCTGCAGGCACAAACGCACTTTTACAAGCACAATCCCCCCCCCCCCCAATCGCAAACACACGCACAAAGAGGCTCAAACGCATTCTTACAGGTACATTCAACCCTATACAAGCACAAATACACCCCCACAGCCACAGACACACACTCCTACAAGCACAGACGAATTCTCACAAACACAGGCACCCCCGCAAGCAAGAACACATCCATGGACTTACTTCACTCATACTGGCGTCAAAGTTTTCGTTGATGAGAACATCCGATGTGTAAAGAACTTGAACAGCGGGAGATTCGGGTTCACTAAGGTCGTACTCGCCAGCCGTGAGTCGGACGACCACGTTGTCTGTCCTGGGGTCGTCGATACAGAGGGAGGGAGAGGGGGAGGGTAGGGGTGGTAAA